TTGTGTATATCTATATCTGTCTATCTGTTCATCCAAGAAAGATGAAGGTAGAGAAGTGGCCTAATAATTTAGCTTTCTATCATGTTTAAAAAGTCCAAGTGTACCAGCCCTAAAGCCTGGAAGTTAGGGAGCCAGATCACACATGACTGACCATGGTTCACATCCCAGCCTGGTGGCTTAAAATCCATACCAGGCATATGTACATGCAGTGCATGCCCCTAATCCCAATAGGATGGAGATATGGAGAAGGGATTGCACTGTGATTAGACCCCACTTAGGGGTACTTTCTCCTTCTCACTCTCTCTGTTTCCCTTTCTGTCTATGTCTGACAAGTGCATGCATACTCTAGCAATTAAAAAAAGAAAATTCAGGGCCAGCAAGTCGTGTGATGGTTAAGGGCACTGGACTCCCACACAGCCAACCACGGTTTGAGACCTGAACCTGACGACTTGCTTTCTCACTTTCCCTCTCTCTCTTTCTCTTGCTCTCACTCTTGCTCTGTCCCTCTCTGGTCAAATTAAAACAAGTAAATAAATAAATAAATAAAGTTAAATAAAATAATTATTTAAAAAAAAAAAAAGAAAGAAAACTCAGAGATTAGGTGAAATGGACAGTACCAAAAAATAACAGCCAATGGGACAGGAAGAAAACCAGAGAAGGTTGGTATTCTGATGGCAAGTAAATGATGGATGTCAAAGAGAACAAAGTGATCAGATGTGTCACATGTTGCTGATGGACCAGTTAAAATGAAAACTGAGGACTGATCATGGGATTTTGTACAGTAAGGTCACTGGAACCTTGCCAAGAGCAATTTCAGCAGAATGATGGGAAAGAAACATTAACTAGAGTGGATTTGAGTTGGAAATAGGCCAGTAGGTGGCATGGTGGTTAAGGTGCTGGACTCCCAGCCAACTGCAGTCCAAGTCCTGAACCTGGTGGCTTACTTTTTCACTTTCCCTCTTCTCTCTCTTACTTTCTCTGATGAGTGCACATGTCCTATAGCAAACTAAAAATAAGAAAAATAATTAATAAAATTAAAATTTCTTTTTTTTTAAAAAAAAAGATATGGAAGGAAGGAGAAGAGAAAAATTGGAGGCAGAAAGTATAAGCAATTCTTTCAAGTAGTATTGCTTTAAAAGAAAACATTACCTGAGTTGCCTCTTACCTTTGTGTATTACTTCATCTTTAACTCCTGTTTTTACAGCCTTC